CCGGGCCTTGTTAAGGAGGCCAGCTGCAGACGGGAAGAAACTGTTTTTATGGTGAGACGTTTTAGTCCTGATGGTCCGCAGCCTCCTGCCAGAAGGAAGTATCTCAAAGAGTGATGATTTTAAGACGTAAAATAAAGCTAAATGATGAGCCTCACAGGCCTTGGTAGTGTATTATTATTTGAATTAGCATTATGTGAGTTAAAAGTGTCTTAAAATATACATATTGAATATGTTACTGTTGATACATTTCAGTGGATGTAATCATTTAACCCATTCAACTTAATGTATCAGTACAAACTCATGTAGAAGTTAATCTTAAATATAGTCCAGAACCCCAAAATCTTCAGAAAATACGGCATATGATCAGTATGCATGGTTAAAAATGATTTGATGCATGCATTTATGTTTAAACATCAGTAAAAAAAAAAACATAAAATGCTGTCAAACCCTGTGTAAAAAGTGCTTTAGCTGACTGAAACTAACAACCTACTTCCAAATGTGCAGCACCATTCTGCACTTACTAATCAGTAACCTATAAACGGTGCTGATACAATATAAAGAAATAAAAAAAAGCTTAATTATGCCACACAATCAAAAAAATGCTCTATCAGCAGAATATCTGCACAGTTGCAGAGTTCATCTTCCTTGTGCTTTCACACCTTTCCCTATATGGACGAGCTAGTTCTCTGTTCATGCTGCAGAACGGCACCAAAAAACACAATATCAAAACCCCTGGTATGTCTCTGTGGAACGTGTCTGACATGCCCTACGTGCTTGTGCGGTGAATAGCAATGGGACCACCGACCCACAGCTTGATCTGTGAGCTGACAGCACCCATCCCCCCACACGCCCATCTGTGCAGCTCTGCATAGGCAAGCAGGCTTGGTGCATGCAGAGGCTGATATAAGCACTCACTGCACAGGAGACACATGTGATTCACCCAGTTCATCTGCAGATCTCAATCTGACCTTTGTTTTTTTGATATCTTAGCCTGCAGTGAGATGTAAACACTCCCCTTTGTCCTCAGGGTGATAATAGCTGCCTTGCTCCACTTGGTTGTAGTAGATCATTATCAGGTCTTCACATTAGGTTTTTTTTTCTCTGTTGTCAGCCGGGTGTGAGCAGTGCAACTTCATGTCTGGTGTGCAGATATCCACCACATGTCTGCTGGAAGTTAATTACGCCTTGTAAGTGGAGGTCAGGGCTTCTCAAGAGGGGTTAGTGTTACTGCTGATGAATGGCCATTGACAACTTCTTTACTTCTCACATGAATCCTGTGATCTCAAAGTGGAGAACAGGGCAGTGTTAACCAACTGAGAAAACATCATGAAAGCTCTAATATTACATGATTTGACTGGTTTATGCACGTGCAGCTAAAACTTACATTAAAGAGGGAGAGAAAAGGGACTTTTATATCAAAATATGGAAAGTGAAAGTAAGCTATAAGTCGTCTGAGCAAAATTCTGCTGTGTTGGCTTTTGGTTTCACTGCAAACTGAGGCTATAAATATACATCTTGTCTGCTTTTATTCATACTAATTAATCAGGTTATTTCAAAATGTGACAGCTAACCACTGACTGCATTACATAAACTGCAGTTTGAAGTGTTGCTGTACACACTGAGCATATTAACATGCTATAAAACATATAAGAGAACAGGAACAAGGGGAGAATGAACTAGGGAAAAGTGAGAAAATAAGAAGTTATATGCTTTAATTTAATTATATTTTCCTCAAACACCGGGCTATTAGATTGTAGTAACACTGTATTTGATATAGTAAACTCATGAGTACAAACTTCAGGTACTTATTTACTTGAGTCTTTTCTTTTCAAGTCACTTTCTACTTCTACTCTACCACAGTGCAAAGGGAAACATTGTACTTTCTACTTCACTACAATTATTTGCAGCCTTAGTCACTTTACAAATTAAGATTTTTGAATTAAAAATGTATGAGGTGCTCATAATATATGATGTTTTTTTTAAACAGTACAGCTGAAAAGACTCATTAATATATTAGTGGATTGACAGGAAAATGAACTGGCGACATTTTATGGATCCACAACTGAATTAAATCAATTTAATCTTTTTTTTTTTATGATTTTGAGTTGTAGACTTTTGTTTGGGAAAAGGTTGTGAAGGTGCCACTTTGACCTCTGGGAAGTAATGTGGCAGTATTTTCTGAACTTCTACCATCCAAACAATCAATCAGTTAATTAATGGAGAAAATAATCAGCAGATTAACCTCATTATTAAAATAATAGTTGCAGTTCTGTAGAAAATAGTTTTAAAAAACAGCATCACCTCATTCAACTACAACAGTAAAATCCTGCTTTTATATTAATGCACGACTAATAATAACCTAATGACATTATAGATAATAGTATGTGTGTACTTTTAATACTTTACACTTTCCTGATTACACTTACATACTTTCAATGTACACACATTTTCAATGTTTTTACTTGTAACACAGTATTTTAATAATTTAATAATACTATCTGAATTCTTTAATGAAGTTTTTTTTTGTCTTTTCAAAATAAAGCGTAAAGCAAAACACTGTATTTTATTATATCCTGATCACAAACGACAAGAAGAGGCAGCATTTTAATATTAAAGCGCCACCTCCTGTCTGAAGAGCGACATTGTTCGCCGCGCGTTCACGCTGACGCGGGGCGCTCACGCTACGCACTGACGTCACGACTTACCCAAAACAAGGAAGAAGCTCTTCCTCCCTCCCTCCTCCCTCTTCCTCCCTCCCTCTCTCTCTGTTAGCATCATGGACGTGTCAAGGTGTACTAAAATTCAGGTGTCATTCAAACAGCAGCTATAACATGTGGAGTATGGCTTCAAGAGATATTTATTTAACATCTGCCTATAAATAAAAGAGGTAAGATTAATAATAAATAACGTGGTGTGAGAGGAGTGATAGCTGCTGCTGCTGCAGGGAGACGGTTAATATCTTCATCTCTAATGTTCATACTGTTTTGGTTTATATCTCATACTCACTATTGAGTGTGGAGAAAGCGAATTTCTAATTTTTAAATCTTCTATCGTGTCTGATGCTGTTTTTGTAACATTTGTATATTAGAAAGTTATTATGGGCATTTAGTGTGGTGTTTGTTTGGAGTGCATGATATTTTCAGCCTATTTTATCAAACAATAATGACTCAAAATATTAAAATCATTGTTTTATTGTGTTATTTATGGCTACGATTTAGATAATCCAATGTAATATTATTGACAACCTAACGTGTGTAAATACACATTATGAACACAACACAAATGTTTTTTTAAATAAAATATATAAAAAAAATATTTT